TCCAGGCAGCACCAGAGCCTAGTGCTAGGCAGCAAGACTTACGTCACGTTATAAGCAAGTACGGTGTGACCAGGCATAAGTCTAGAAAAGCAAAACCAACAAAAATGTCCTCCCAATGTGTAAAGCGATTGGCTAAAAACTGAACATGGAGGCCGGTTGACACTTAATGATTTACCTCATCTGTTCAATTCACCCAAGTGTGCTGAATGTCCTTTCCTTTTGTGAACACTTTCCATATAAATAGTGTGTAGAATTAAAATGAAATACACGTCTAATCTGGCTTGTGCCCGGTTAGAGAACCTGACTGCACAGATGGAGATTTATGCTCTATTTTCTCAGGTAAAAGCAACCTCAAAACTTCTTTTTATAATGTTACAGTTACAAAGCACTGTGGGATAACACGACCATTCCCCTTTAACAATCCCATAGAGTTTTCTAGACTCCCTCAGACATAGGAACAAAACCCTAGGAAAGTAAACCACAGTTAAGGGAAATTAAATTAGTACTGGAATACTACCCAAGGTTTTAAAAACATTCTCAAACGTTGTCCACAGTTTAGTATTTTATGTTTCTGACCACGTTTTGATACAAATATGTTGCCAATTCTAAAGTTCAGGACACAACCTGAATAAAGAAGAATCAGAAAAAACACAAATAAATACATTATGTATTTATCCACCAGCCTACTTATTAGACAAAAAATGCAAATTTTGACTTTGAGTCAACATGTTGAAAGTAATAATTTAGACTATATTAGTAATGTAAAGATCATTTAGCAGTGAAGTCCCTTTTAGGGATCGTGTACGACAGCTATCATTTATTTTAAATCAAAAACAGAAGCTAAATGAGCACCTTAGCCTTCACTCTCATGTGGTGAAAAGCAGCCGGGAAAATGCATGCCATCATTAAAAGCAGAGGCAGGTGTTCAAGGCGTCACCTGTTCAATGATGACAGATAAGTAATGGAAGGCAGTAACATGCATATGTTAAACTGAAAAAAACAGTTGTAAGAGATCATGTAACCAATGGTTATAGCAACATTTTCTTTCAGTCTGTTTCCTGACAATATTTCTGATATGCGCATGTACTTTTTTTTTTTTATGTAAGCTTCTTAGATATTCTATTTCATCTGACCTGCCTAGAGTCGATTACAATAGACAGAGTGAGGACAAAAGTTGTGAAAAATGGTAAAGTTGCTTTCTCTGTTTCCCTGAGGGCATAGGTAATTTTCAGCTCTAGTGACCTCACTCCAGGAATACCCAACACCGAACATAGAACAATATTCAAGCTCATTTATTTACTTCCTCCCATGGTAGCAACTGACTGTCAAAATATTTTACACAAAACAAAAAAAAAGCTAAATCTAGGATTACTCTATGGATGGTCTTAAATTCCATTATATTTGTTTTTTGGGGGTTGAAACCTTAATAGCTTTGATGGTTAAAAACATCTACTGTTTGCATTTCATGAGTTCCGTCTTACTGCAGGAAGTGTGACTATTAATGGAGGTGCCACTTATTCTCTGATTGTGCTCTGCCAGATGCAAAGGCACTGACTTTGGCTGTACTAGAACTTTCAGGTAGGCTCCATGATTGATAGCTCTGCTAAGAGCGGCACCGCTGCTGTTCTCTGCAGGTGATTACAACTGCACTCAAGCTCAGCAGGTTTCAGTACCAGCATTTTTCACCAGTTTAAAGTGAAGATTATGTGTTTAGTTTAATCAAAACATCTTTACAAATCACAGATTCATAGACCATATAGGGTTTGATGGCAAAGACAATTTAAAGCACTGGTTTTCCATAAAAGCTGGGATGCTTACTGTTTGGATTTTTGTGTTATTTAAATAAAAAAAAGCCAATAATCTTTTTTTTTTTTTTTTTTTTTACCGACAGGTAAAAAAATTTGCAGTTCTGAAAACTCACAATCTGTAACTGCTGTTTTTACCTCTCTCTTTTATTATCAAGTTATACATTAGGAATGATAATCACTTGTAAGATAAGATAAAATAAAGGTTTTGACTTGTGCAGTTGTTGAACTGGTTTGTTTTTAACTTTCTGAGAGACTCTGCTGCAAAACCAACTGTTTCACCCTTTCTCTTTTATAATCAAATGTATAATGCAAGTAGTAGCATAATAAATAAGAAGACTTTATGCAGCGCTGCAAGATGCAAATTGGTGTGTTTCCTATCAGATTTTGAAGCCTTATTTGATATACATACATAGAATTATTTTTTAAACAATAGAATTGTTCTGTTACTGTACATAACATGACACACTAAATGAGAACAATCAAGAAAACAAAGTATGAATTCCACCAGAAGAGCAGTCTGAAACAAGCTTATTGTAACCAGCTGCTTTCATTTTCTTTTTTTTTTAGAGTAAATTTTCCGATACATAGAAGGGGTTTTTAGCAGAAACCTACATAAAAACCTCAGATTGTACTGTTTGAAAAATGAATCCCTATCCAAACATGGCGAAGCAAAAATTTATCTTTATTTAGAAATAAGTGCTGAATATAATCGCAGTGTTAACAAAATAATGGCATATACAGGAGTCAAAAGAGTTCCATGGAAAGAACTAACACAATCTTTCAAGAAGATAATATTTATAGCAAAAAGAAGCATAAGTCTCCACAGCTACTAAATAGCTCAGAGTTTTGAGCATAGTCAAGGCACAGAGCAAACAAACCCCATTAATATCATAGGAGTCTGTGACACATACAGCTCAGCAGTACTTCATAAATTGAAGCAAGATTTACAACACAGACCAGTGGTTTGGGTTCCAAGTGAACTTATAGGTCCCTTAAGGATCAAAGTATTTTATAGTGAAGCATGAAGACAATTTCTCAATTGAAAGGGGGGATTGGATCCTTGAAGATAAAATGTATGCATTTTTGTATATAATTCCTTTTTATTGCTTTTCTCCATTTAAGTTTTAGTAATATAGTCTGCCCGCAGTGTAATAGTGCACAGCTTCAGAAGGACACTTATCTTTAATTTTTATTGACTAAAACTCAAGAGTTTTACATCAAAGCCAGTTGAACATCTTCAATTTAGAATACAAGTAAGTGGTAAGATCTTTCATGGTTAAATTAATCTAAAAGAAATATACAGCAAAAGTTATAGAAAATTAAGCTGTTTGAGCACTCAACATAAGAAATTAAATAGCTTGTCTTTCACAGCAAAAATAAACATGCTAACACTAATTATCACCCTGCAAGTAAGTTCTATGTTTCATTGTTTAATTCCTGAACATCTGATTTTGCAAGAAAAATTTTTCTAATTTAAAAAATTTATGAAAAACTTCTAAACTATGCATAGCATTAAGTATTTTTTGGTCTTACAATAAAGTTCCTTAATTATGAGTTCGTTGGGCTACAATATATACAAAGACATCTACTAAACTTACAAAATGCTTTTGCTTTCCGTCTTGATTTTAAGCGTCCTCTTGAGATTTTGTACAGGATTTATTTTTATGCTGTTTCAATAATTAGGGTTTTAGAAACACAACATATCACCTCATTGGTGGGAAAATAGGCCAGAGGTGATGTATTAGACTGAGCTGTAGCAGCTGAAATTTGTTGGGCTTACATCTATGCCAAGCTTGGGCTTTGGAACCCAACTACATGAGACATACTAGACTCTGAAACTCTAGAGTTGTCAAGGAAGACAGCTGTTGGGCAAAGGTGCGTGGACTCAAAAACCCACAGCACAGAGCCTCAATTCCAACATATTTTATGTCAGGGAAATGATGACCTTTTTAATCATTTGGATTGCAAGATTGAATGGTTTTACTGTTGTCTGTGGGCAATGCACTGAACTGCAGTTGAGATTACTCACCTCTGAATGGTGTCCTTAAAGGGTTGTCGCCTGATAATTCAACGTTTAATTGAGGGGACTTAATTGCCATTGTTGGCAACAGGAACATTACCTGGAGGGGCAACGTTGCCATGTATAGCCTTTCTAGGCTCATTCTATGTGGTATTTTGTTTGTAACATCTGTGAAGGTAAGTAATGTCCTTAACTAAAACCACTGTCAAGACCAAGGTGGTTCATATGTGTACCTGGTTGATTGTTTATTCTTTTATTGCATCATTAGGCTTTCGGTTTTATATGTCTTGAACACCTGGGTTAAGAGAGGGGCAAAGCTTTTAAGTAATCCCCATCTGGTTGTGATTTGGACCTGTTGGCAAGAGATGCTGCAAGACAGACCTAATTAACTGGTGGCAATTGTGAGTCAGGAACATCTGGGACACTTTTGAAGTGATCTTCTATTCACAGCTTAAGGATTATTATCAAAAGTGACTTTTAATCATCTGACCAACAAGCCAGATCGAAACACATAGGCAAGCATTTGTTTTTCAAACATATTACCAATTTTCTTATGTATATATTTTGTGTTCAAATGGATATCAGGACCATCCATCCGGATTTAACTAGCCATGTTAAATTGCTTTATATAACTTTTTTCTATCATCCAATGCTATCTTTTTAGATGATACCATTTTGGCTTTCCTTTTATTTATCTGTTTTTTTTTCCCCCACTAATGACGCAGATGGTGAGATGTTATTTGCAGTGATTATAAAAAATGTTCCAAACAAAAATGGCTCTAATCATTGTTGTTATTATTACTGATGTAAAGGGCAAATTTATAATTGTTAAATTAAAAGGACTGTAGGCCCAAAGCAGAACAAGGCATGGAGCAATAGATGTGAGTGATTTCATCAAATAATTTTTTTTGTTTTTTATAATTTTGGGATGATATTTTTTTTACACTAATCTCTGTACAATTGTATCATACCAGCTTTAGATGAGCATACAATGACTTCACCAAATTACCTGAAGTATTTCCAGTTAGGAAAGCTTATTTCATTCTTTTTTTCTTTTCCATAACCCATTTGTGTTTCCAATGAAAAACTCTGCACATATGCACCAAACTGAATTATTGAGCCTGTCATGGTCCTTTCTAAGAAAGCCTTGCTTGTTTTGTGTTCTCTTGCAGGTTCCATCTGAGTTGAAGGTGACAACAAAGAAACCAAATGCCATGGATTTTGTAAATTTGACATACTGGAATGTCTCTGAAGGCAATGAGACAGAAGTTGTGGCAGATAGAGACAGCCCTTACAAGACTGTGGAGGTAGTATTCATCGTGTTAGTGGCTGGTTCCCTGAGTTTGGTCACTGTTATCGGCAATATCCTGGTCATGCTTTCCATCAAAGTGAATAGGAACCTACAAACCGTCAACAACTATTTCTTATTTAGTCTCGCATGTGCAGACCTAATCATTGGACTGTGCTCTATGAACTTGTACACAATTTATATAGTCATTGGTTACTGGCCTCTTGGGCCAGTCGTGTGTGACTTATGGTTGGCTTTAGACTATGTTGCCAGCAATGCATCTGTCATGAATCTTCTCATAATAAGCTTTGACAGATACTTCTGTGTGACGAAACCCCTGAGCTATCCTGTGAAGCGAACCACCAAAATGGCAGGGATGATGATTGCTGCCGCCTGGGTCCTTTCTTTCATCCTCTGGGCACCTGCTATCCTGTTCTGGCAGTTCATTGTTGGGGGCCGGACTGTGCCTGAGAAAGAGTGCTACATTCAGTTTTTTTCCAATGCCGCTGTTACTTTTGGAACTGCAATTGCAGCTTTTTACCTTCCTGTCATTATCATGATTCAGCTGTACTGGCAAATTTCAAGAGCTAGTAAAAGTCGAGTAAAGAAGGACAACCGCAAGCCATCAGGGTCAAACCCAGAAGCTTTGTCACCCGGCCAGAGGAGAGAGAGCACTCCGAAACCCAACAATAACAATGTTCCGGGGGAGGATGGAACACATTCCCAGAACCAGAGGGCAGAGGATGGGGCAAACCAGCATGATGGAAAATTGCAGAATGGCAAAGGACCTTCATCCTCTACGGCTGATGTAGAAACTGAGGGTGACAGTGTGGCAAAGGAGAATTGTGCTCCTGCAGAGGAGAAGGAGAGCTCAAATGACTCAACATCTGGCAGTATGGCAGCTTCAAATCTGAAAGATGAAGAACACGTAGCATCCACAGCAAACTCAAGCGCCGAGGCCACCCAGCAGCTTCCTCGTCAGCGAGCCAAAGCAGGAGGCTCCAAACTGACCTGCATCAAAATCAAGACCAAGTCTCCGAAGGGTGATTTCTACACACCATCAAATGCCACAGTTGAGATTGTCCCAGCCACAGAACGTCAGAACAATGTGGCGAGGAAGATCGTGAAGATGACGAAGCAACCTCCAACCAAGAAGAAAAAAGGGGCCCCGTCACGGGAGAAAAAAGTTACCCGCACGATCATGGCCATCCTGGTGGCTTTTGTTGCAACCTGGACTCCATATAACGTTATGGTGCTCATAAATACCTTTTGTTCTGCATGCATCCCCAACACTGTTTGGACTATTGGTTACTGGCTGTGCTACATTAACAGCACCATCAATCCTGCCTGCTACGCTCTGTGTAATGTCACATTCAAAAAGACATTTAAACATCTGCTTCTCTGCCAATACAAAAGCAGTAGATCAGCAAGATAAATATGGTAAAAGCCCCCTTTGGAGGAGGCTTGAGGTATGAGTTGTCTGTGAGTATATGTTGTACTTATGGATGTTGTTTGTTATCCATGCATAAGTGTTTTTTGTGAAAGAAAATGTGTGAAAAAGATAAAAGGACATTTCAAAATCATTTCAAAAGTTTTCTCTCTATAACCTGTTGTAGCACTTTACTCCTATTCAGCTGAATTCAGTTGCTTTCACTTATGTGTTGGAAGAAGCAACATATATGAGGATGGTTGCAACAACTTAAAAGTTGTAATCTTAAAAAAAAATCAGCTAATATAAGGAGATTAGAAGTGACAGACACAAGGCTGGTTGGACAAATGGAAGATGACAGGCAGAGGATGATCTGTTCCGTATGGAAAACACTTCAAATGGGAAAACAGGGCTGACTGAATTTTCAAATCTTCTAGGTTTGAAATTCAGTAAAGATTCTTGTAGATAACTGTAGATAAATGGTGTATATTCTATTTGTGTGTGCACATGTGGGTGCGTACTGGCTTCGTGTCTGTGTGCACACCCACCACTAGTGCTTCTTTACTTGCATTCTCTCTGTGTGATCATCCTCACCATGTCTCTTCCTACCAGCAATATATAGCAGAATGTTATTTTAGTTTTCTGCTCATAGGTTTTTATCCTGATAGGTAGTTTTCCAATCTAACAAATGCCTAGGTACAAATTAGAAGGCACAACTTAATGAATAAATGAATGCAAATTTTCACTAGTCAAATTTGTATCCTAAAAAAAACGGTTATATGAAAATATTGCTCCACATAGCTGTTTTGACTTCAAAAATAAGGTCCTTTGTTTGTTGTTTTTTAAGCTTTAGCAACAAGTGGATATCTTTCACCTGTTTGAATGAGCAGGGTCCTCCAGAAGCTGGCTAAAAAACAAACTATAGAATATCTCTAATACAAGTCTACTAACTGTATTCTGAAGTTCTTTGCATGTTACTTATTAAAATCATAGCAATCATAATTACCACTGGAAAAATCCGACAATTGATGGGTTGTACAAAAAACATCACATTTTGAGTTCCTCCAATGGTTGTTAATTGGATGTTAAAGACAATCAAGAGTAGAAATGCAGTAAGAAATCAGCCAGTAGCTGAACTAGAGTTGTGTCCATGCTCTAATATGGCAAAAATCACATAGGTAAATTATCTTCCTAACTTCAGGCGTAAGTTACCGCATACGCTTGTTATTGATCCATGCAGTTTTACATCATGTCCTGAATCAGGAAAACATCTACAAGATGAAAAACAGTGGAAAAATAATCAGAAAACACCACTGTTCTTTTTTTCAGCCTCCACATCTGTAAAATAGACACAAAACATCTGTGAGGATTTTCCCTGAATTTGTGTGAAGTGTGAATTTTAGAACTGATTAAGTAAGGCTTGAAGAAGCCCTTAACTGCATATATTACCCTTAACTGCATATATTACCATTTATTTGGTCTGAAAATAAGATATAATAAAAAAAAAAACAAGGCTTAATTTGGACAAGTCAAATTAAACTAGAAGTATTATGAGCAGAATTATACTAAGAGGTTATGTCAGCTAATTTTACTTTATTCACCTCCTTCCATCTATGTATTGTTTTAAATAACTAAGAAAATATAACCTTTCTAAACATTTAAAATATAATCAATTAGAAAAGTAAATGAATCAATAAAAAATACATATACACAAATGTGTGTCATACTTGTCAACGTGCCGTAATCTTATCTCTTCATCTTTTTCTTTTGCTGACAGGATGTCAGGTGTAGATTTTCATGGCAAATATTGTACATGTAATATATGTCAAGTTGCTAAGAACACAGTGAGTCATGAGCGGGTAGGAGCTCAGAGCTGTCCTTTGTTAGGGTCTGTAGGAGGGCTTTTTGTGGTCTGTGTGTGTGTGTCTGTGTACAGAGGACTGAATGACTTTATTTGCTTTTTATGGTTCAATTGACAGACATTATGGCATGTTTCGTATGGGTGAAGGTTGTGAACTTCTGGATGTCTGTGGGTATACCTGCTGATGTATGTTTGCATGCTCCAAGTGTGGAGTTTACTTCTGATCACAGGTTTCAGCCTCGTGATTTTAAAAAGGGCTATTTTCACGTCATCATATCCTTGTTGTGACTCTTCTCCATTTGGTTCATAATTGATTTTAACTCATCCTAGTTGAATTAAAAGTGATGAGTAGCTGTGTTTACTTTAGTGCCAGAAGAAATTAGAAAACATCAATTTACCGAGAGGCATGTTCTGTGTTTTCATGCATGTCATCCATCTTTTCAGCCTATTAGACCACTCTCAGTTACAGTAATGCGGCTTGCTCGTTGGAGTGATGAATATGCAGCAGCATTTGCCATCAGGAGGTTGCCACAGTGGCTGGTAGGGGGGCTTTGCTAAGATTTACGCCTGCACCGGATAGCTCCTTGAGGCTGTCGGCTTTAAAGAGAGATCTGGGACAGATCCTATAATGAAAACTCACCATGAGGCTGATCAGATTACGGGCCGATGTGGAACACCTACATTTTAGATTAAAGGCTGCCCATTACACGCTCAGCTTGTGGTTGCATGCTACAAACCAGTGCCCCACTTACAGCATTGCTCTTTCCATTGGTTATCTCTGTATAGTCTCTAATTATTGTAAGGTCATGAGTGTAATATAAATACTACTAGATGTACAATTATGTTAAGCACCCTGCTACTTATTAATGTTTCTATGTGTTTTCTCTCTAATCCCCTTGCCAGCTAGACACCACCATGTTTTATAATATGATCAGGCAAATAATACTGCAGACTGAGACATTTTCCATTTGAAAACATGTTATCAGCTTAAAAAACATTAAAAGTTCTGATCTAAAATAGTTTTTTTTTACAAACTTTCCATTAAGGACCATTCTATTAATCACTTTAAGTCAATATTACAATTAAAAACTGACGTTTAAAGAAACAAATACCTGTTTCTGACAACTTTTTTATTTCTAGATGATTTTTTCTCCATTCTTCTTTGAGAACAGATTGGTGGAAGAGCATCTTCCATCTATTTCCAAGTATCACTACAGGTTTTAATCAGATTCCAACACATGAATATGCTTCAATCTAACTCATTCTATTCTAGCTAAGACTATATGTTCACTGGAAAAAATGTGAAATCTAGATAAGTCATTTTTTCTTAAGATAAATGTATTTGTTCTTGGATTAAGGAAGTAAAAGAGACATTTTGCCAATGGAACAAGAAAATTTACACTTAAAATAAGAAAACACAATAGCATTGTCTTATTTCAAGTGCATATTATCTAATAATCTTATTTTAAGAGTAAAAATACCAATTCCATTGGCAAACGATATCATTTACCTATTCAAATTAAGGGGAAATACACTTAATTTAAGATATTTTTACTTCTTTTTAGATTGTTTTTTGTTTCTGAAAGGTGAACCTCTGATCCAGCCCCAAGTTGTTTGCTGGCCTAATTGTCTGTATTTAACTAAACACATCTCTGACCTGCCTAAACAGTTAGAATTATATTAAAACGGCAAAAGGTAGGTAAGATATAAATAATATATAAAAGAGGATTTCACATCCACTACATGGAGGAGCAGAGCCATGTCTGTCTGCCATCTGTCACACATCCAAATAGAGACCATAAAGCTTTCCAAAAACATTCGATTAATCTCAGCCGAGCTGCTGCTTGACAGATACCAGCAGGAGAGTAAGTGGTGGTCCGAGGGTCTCTGTTCCGAGGAGCATGTGATGAAAGGTGATGGCATTTTATCACTTCCTGGGGTGGTTTAAGTGGGGCAAGTTGTATCAAACAAACAACAGCAACCAGCACTTTTATAAACCAGTTTGTTCACTTTGTGGTGAAGGTGAAAACAAAGAGGTCTTGTGTTTCACCCTGTGTGGATGTAAGTTTGGAAGATGTGTGCTAAAGGCTTAACAGGAGATTTTATCTATTTTATTTTTTTGCTGCTTGCAAAGGGCAAACAAAGCCTATATCATCTTTTATGCAAATTGCATCCATAAGCATCCAACACAACCATAACATGTTCAAAATTGTCTTTTATGTTGTTATATGCTGTACATCTTTCTTTAAACTCTGATCTGATCACTTGCCCCAGTTTAATCACCCCAACATCATGATACTGCCACCTGCATACTGTTCTACCTGCATCAATGGTGTATAAAATTAGATAAAACATGGACAGACTCTTCATGAATTAGATTACATTTGAGAGCAAATGGTTGCATTTGAATTTGTTAAGGGATAGTCAATTAAAATGAGATGTGTTAAATGTGTTTATGTGCACTTGTTAAAGTTTAACTTAGCTGCAAACATTCTAAATCATACATATATTTGCTCTTGCTCCACTTGTTCACTTCTAAGAAAAAAAAGTAGAATACATTAAAAGTTAGGGGTGTAGATGAAAAAAATGGGGTTTGAATAATTTTGCATGGCACTGCAAATGGGACACATTGAAACAGAAAAAATAGGGAGAAGAAGGGTTTGATAGAAACAGGTTCCAAACTCTGCTGGCGAGGGGGACATGTTTGGAGAAGCCTTAGCTACACTTTGGACAGGTCAGCCAAGAGTTTCAATGTTGCAGACAATCTGCACCATCTGGTGTATGTTACATCACTGTTTACCATTATTCATCCTTCCACTGTCCCAGTGCAAACAGAATTAGCTTCTTTCTGGTTTTATGGTCATAACCGTCCATTTATAACGACACTAAAATGGGCACATATTTCTTTGCATGTCAAATAGTTTTAAATTAAACATAGTGTGTACTTTTCAGATAATGTGCCGTGAGAGCTAGCTGGGCTCCTGTTCATACGGCTTATGTCAAAGGGCTACTGCGCTCCTTTTATGGAGAAAGTGTGACATGTAACGTTAATCAGAGGCAACTTTAAATTGAAGGTTACTCTGGCTGTTAAGCTACGAGATAAGGATGTTGCTTTGAAATTTTTCAATAATCTTAACGTAATGGAAAAGCACCTTCTGCGTATTTGAAGGATTTTTTTTTTTTCCTACTTTTGATAATATATCGCCGGATTGTACAGAGCAATAGGAAGTGCCTTAACTTGTGTAACATGAATAAATTGCTCTAATTCTCTTGTTGCATGTTTTGTGCAGGTTTCCTGAGATTGTGCACATTAAGAAACATGCAATCCAGTCTTCCCAAGTATGACTCACTGTATATAGTTTGGGTTTTTGTTTCGTTCAGCTCTGAGCTCCTATTGTTTAGCTTCAATCTGACATATTGCAGACGAAATGAAAAGTTGAGAATGAATTAAATGATAATAACATTTTTAAATTAAGGTAATATTACTAAAACAATAAACATGGCCGTGACAAATATCAGTAATATAGAGGAGTGGTTCAGTTTTATTCACATTTATTTCACTGACAAATGTGCAGGTTAGGCTCTGTGTGTGTCTGTTATCATTACAGATCATTGTTGCCATTAGTTTTATTTTGTTTGACTGGTTGTGCAAATTGTTTGCTTTAAATTATTATGCTTTAATAAATTTTTTTTTCTCAAAATGACATCCACAATCTACAAACAATAAGCAGAACAAAATATCATGACACAAATCAAGGATGATCTGCTTTTTTTTTTTCTTGTTCTGTTTTAGCAGTAAAAAAGCTTCCAAAGACTCAGATGTGAGACTTCTGTGCTTTAGAAATAGATGTAATCACACCACATTGTATATTTTCTATCCCATTTTGTAAATCTACAACCTTTATTATTGTAAAGAGTGAAAATGTAGTATTTCACATTATTATGAACTGTGTACAGCCTGTTTATTACTGTGTTTTTTTGTTTGTTTTTTGAGAAAATATTTAGAATCCTTAAATATTGTGAACTTTGAAAGATATAGAGACAGAGGATATGACTATATGTGCAAATTCTGAAGTTTTATGATTTTCCAAAAAAAAAAAAAGCCAAAAAAAAAAAACATTATTCTGGTTGTGCAATATAGAAACTGTACTGTATATTTTTCACATGACAGGAGGTCCAGGGGATTTCAAGAACGATTTCTGCAGCCGAAAAAGCAGTATGTGGGAGAGAGAAAACCCTGGAGGATGACAGATGCTAAAACTAGTTTCTGTGTGGCCCAAACGCTCAGAGGTGAAGGGGTGATAGCTTTCATTTTGATTTTCACCTGTAAATTTATGAGGTTTCGCCCTCACCCTGAAAAGAAGCTGACTCACTTAATAGACACTCCCTATATATATATATAAACTCTTTTTTCTTTTGCCAGTTTCACAATCTTGCAAATATGTTTTGTTTTGGTTGTATGCCCTGATCTGAACTTCAAGGGGAAAGGGTCACAAAACTCATTTGGATGTGAAATAAAGCTCAACAAATAAATCTTCAAATAAATCCACAGCCTGCTGCAAGTGTTCAACATACATCCATGTGGTAATTTTCCATATTTCCTGTGTATATGGATGTTTCTTGTGTATCCAATCACTGTGGCTTGTGGCTTCTATTGCAATAGGAAAAAAAATATATATTCTGCAGTTTGTTGTTTGACTTGTATATATTTCTATATGACAGTACATTGTTTTTAACTCTGAAGCGTTACATTTGAAATGTACATGCTATAGCTCCTATCTGATTGTCCCCCCCTATCCCTTCTAACTATCATTCCTCCTGCTATGATACTTCTTGTATAGTAACACTGGTATTGGTTTCTCTCTTGATGCATTCTTGATTATTTGTTCAAAGCAATGAATCTTGAGTGTTTTTTATCACTGACCACCTATGAAACTGTAAGATTAACTGCATTAAATGGTTACATGGTATAATAACCTCTTCAAATAAAACTGACATAAAAATATGTTTTTAAGAATGTCTTTTTCAGTGGTATTTTATTAATTTGTGTATATATATATATATATATATATACATATACAGGTGCTGGTCATAAAATTAGAATATCATGAAAAAGTAGATTGATTTCAGTAATTCCATTTAAAAAGTGAAACTTGTATATTATATTCATACATTACATACAAACTCATATATTTCAGATGTTTATTTTGTTTAATTTTGATGATTACAAATGACAACAAATGAAAATCTCAAATTCATCATATCAGAAAATTAGAATATTGTGAAAAGGTTCAAAATTGATGGCCCCTGGTGCCACACTCTAATCAGCTAATTAACTCAAACCACCTGCAAAAGCCTTTAAATGGTCTTTCAGTCTAGTTCTATAGGCTACACAATCATGGGGAAGACTGCTGACTTGACAGTTGTCCAAAAGACGACCATCGACACCTTGCACAAGGAGGACAAGACACAAAAGGTCATCGCTAAAGAGGCTGGCTGTTCACAGAGCTCAGTGTCCAAGCACATTAATAGAGAGGCGAAGGGAAGGAAAAGATGTGGTCGAAAAAAGTGTACAAGCAAGAGAGATAACCGCACCCTGGAGAGGATTGTGAAACAAAACCCATTCAAAAATGTGGGGGAGATTCACAAAGAGTGGACTGCAGCTGGAGTGAGTGCTTCAAGAACCACCACACACAGACGTATGAAAGACATGGGTTTCTGCTGTCGCATTCCTTGTGTCAAGCCACTCTTGAACCACAGACAGCGTCAGAAGCGTCTTGCCTGGGCTAAAGAGAAACAGGACTGGACTGCTGGTGAGTGGTCCAAAGTCATGTTCTCTGATGAAAGTAAATTTTGCATTTCCTTTGGAAATCAAGGTCCCAGAGTCTGGAGGAAAAGAAGAGAGGCACTTCATCCACGTTGCTTGAAGTCCAGTGTAAAGTTTCCACAGTCAGTGATGGTTTGGGGTGCCATGTCATCTGCTGGTGTTGGTCCATTGTGTTTTCTGAGGTCCAGGGTCAACGCAGCCACATACCAGAAAGTTTTAGAGCACTTCATGCTTCCTGCAGCTGACCAACTTTTTGGAGATGCAGATTTCATTTTCCAACAGGACTTGGCACCTGCACACAGTGCCAAAGCTACCAGTACCTGGTTGAAGGACCATGGTAACTGTTCTTAATTGGCCAGCAAACTCTCCTGACCTTAACCCCATAGAAAATCTATGGGGTATTGTGAAGAAGAAGATGCAATACACCAGACCCAACAATTCAGAAGAGCTAAAAGCCACTATTAGAGCAACCTGGGCTATCATAACACCTGAGCAGTGCCACAGACTGATCGACTCCATGCCACGCCGCATTGCTGCAGTAATACAGGCCAAAGGAGGCCCAACTAAATACTGAGTGCTGTACATGCTCATACTTTTCATGTTCATACTTTTCAGTTGGCCAACATTTCTATAAATCCTTTGTTTGTATTGGTCTTCAGTAATATTCTAATTTTCTGATATGATGAATTTGAGATTTTCATTTGTTGTCATTTGTAATCATCAAAATTAAACAAAATAAACATCTGAAATATATGAGTTTGTATGTAATGTATGAATATAATATACAAGTTTCACTTTTTAAATGGAATTACTGAAATCAATCTACTTTTTCATGATATTCTAATTTTATGACCAGCACCTGTATATAATACACTAGAAATCTACAAGTACCTGTATTTTAGTTCAAATAGATAATTCCTAAAAGAGAGTCTCTAGTGAAGAAAAGCTTTTTCAGCACATGATGCTGCCATTACCATAAAGTAAAGTTGAGTGGATGTGAGGATGTTTTCTAGGCTAACTTGCTCTTTTAATTTTTCTAACAGACCAAAAGTATCAAAATTTGTGCTTTCGGAGCAGACAACATATTTTATGACCAGCACTTTCAATAAACTGAAGTGAGAATAAGTATGTTTTAATTAATAATTTTAATTAATACGTTTACTGACATTGGTACTTAATAAAAAGTACCAAAACACCTTTGATATCTATTCAAAATCAGATTCTTTTTGTTTTTATGTGTCAGAGGGCAAACAATATGTCAACCATAAGCAGCATTTATACATTCAGGAAAGAGGTAATGATACAACAAATTTAATCTTGAAGTCTTCCCAAGTGCTCTTCATTAGATTTAGGTCTGGACTTCAACATGGCCATTCTGACACATCAACATCCATCCATTCATCTTCTTCTGCTTATCCTGGGTCGGGTCGTGGGGGTAGCAGCTTCAGTAGGGAGGCCCAGACGTCCTTCTCTCCAGCCACTTGGGCCAGCTCCTGTGGGGGAATCCCAAGCTGTTCCCAGGCCAGCCAAGAAACATAGTCCCTCCAGCGTCTCCTGGGTCTCCCTCTGGGACTCCTCCCGATGGAACGTGCCCGGACACCTCACCAGGAAGAAGTCCAGGAGGCATCCAAACCAGATGCCTGAGCCACCTCAACTGGCTCCTCTTAACATGAAGGAGCAGCTGCTCTACTCTGAGTCCTCCGCGGATGACTGAGCTCCTCACCCTATCGCTAAGGGAGAGCCCGGTCACACTACAGAGAAAACTAATTTTTGCCACTTGTATCTGGGATCACTTTCTTCGGTCATGAACCAAAGCTCACGACCATAAATGAGGGTAGGAACACATCAAAACTTGAGATCAAAATCACTATGTTTTGAGGCGTCCTTAGCCCCAAGTGCTTTTCATTCTCTAACAACCTTTCCTCAACAATTGCTCAGCTGCTTGTACTGAGCTCTGCCCATCTTCTTCAGCATGCTGCAAATAACACACTTCAAAATGAGAATGGAGGAATGCAGGGAGATATTTTCCTCTACAAGTTTTATTTTCAACCTTCCTCAAATATTCTATTGTGTAATGATCTCTTCAAATAAATGTGAATAAAGTACGTTTTCAGGCAGTTTTAATTTTATTTGCATTTTATTGACACAGCTGACAGCATGAAGGTTAAATACTTTTGGTATCGTTTTCTACATTTTATTAACTTTTTAGTATCAGACATGTAAAAGAGGAAGAGAAGGAGGTGATAACTTCCAGCAGCCATGACTTAAGAACTGATTTCACAGTATGAGGAAATCAAAGTAAAACAGGAGGTAAAGAAGTTGAACTCTAGCAAAACATTTTCTACACTTATATTGAACCCTTCAAAAAAATTGCAGATGGAAGTTAGATTCAAAAACATACAGTTATATTAGGCTTGCTTAACACTGAAAAACCAAAACTTTTTTTTTTTTTAGCTCAAATTAATTAGGTGAAAATGTTTGAGGACTCACTTTTAACAAACAGCCTCATTAAGCTGGAGCAAAGGCCAAAGAAGTTTTCCAAATTAGAGTTGGAACAGTAAAACAAATCCTGGGCTATTTGTACCTAAGAATTAATGTGAAAGATAACATAATTAAGTGTCAACGCTAGTAAACAAATCATCTCATTATCCATCCCTAAAGCATTGTATTATGCCCAACATACCAATATACAACATGTTCTGTATTGGACGCTAAGAAAAAAGAAAAAAAATAGTAATTGGCTCTAAAAATCATTTTTTTTACTAGTTTTATCAAAACTACAGATGTCAGCCTACAGTACAGATAAACAGGAAACCAGGTTGAAATGGGGGTAGTGGACATTTTTCCACAGTCTTCTTCCCTTTTGCTGGTTTAAAGTAAAAACAAATCTCATCAGTCCTTTGGGGTACGCTCCCGCTTCTTCCCCTCCTTCTTTTGCTTCTTTGCATCTGCAAGGAAAGAAAAATAAAGTAAATATAGTTATACTCCACCCTATAAATCTTCTTTACTGCCAGAGGAGACACCTTTGAAAAATAAACAAATCCTATTGTTTCCATGAAGAGAATCCATGCTCCGTCTCTGATCGTAATATACCATATAGGTTTTAATCAGCTAGTTTGCCTCAGTGAATGTTTTGTACTGTGACCCACTTTATGCTGATCTCTCCTGAAGCCTGATCATGCAGCCTTCAGAAAGCACAGCACCATAAGCCTTCAGCAAGTGTGGAGTGGCACCTGGCAGCCATGACTTAATGCCGCTGTGTTCAAGGAAACAGATGACTGCCTACAGTTTCTTGGCTTTTTTAGCCTTTGGCTTGCTGTTTATTACTTCGCAAAACTTTATGCATGACATCTTTTAATCTAAGATTTATCCATGTGCAGGTAGATTGTGTAATTAAAAGGGAAATATCAAGCTCCATTGGATAAAAACAAGACAAAAAAAGTATGAAAAGAAGAAACATTAAAAGAAAACAAAGAAATAATGTCAGAATTTTACACTCCGGCTATGTTGTACAAATTACTTTAACCGTTTGGACTAGTTTTGCTTTATCAGTGAGCTGAGAAGTTTCCCATTTATTTCAGTTGAAGAGTAGAGGTTCTAGCATGAATGGCACCCTGGGTGAGCCTCTGGTGTGAGCTTACCTTCTGAGACCACACTATTTATCTTTATTCTAATGCACTATTGAGTTCAGATCTCAACAATTCTGCAAACCAGAGGTTGGTAAATTCTATCACTTATTATTATATTTAAGAAATGTAACAACCTTAAAGTAATTGAGGACAATGCAAAACACCAATTCATCCAAGCAGCATATAATCTTCCTATAACAACTTTATGATTGTACGCAGAGGTGGAAAGAGTACTAAAAAATTGGAATTAAGTAAAAGTATCTTTACTAAACGTAAACGTAAAATTACCCATCTCAAAATTTACTCAAGTAAAAGTATAAAATTACTTAATTTAAAATGTAATTTGAGTAAAAGTTACTTAGTTACTTTGAGTTATTTAATGCAAAAAAAAGGATGAGTCATTAATCGAATTGAGCACAAGGTGTTTTAATCGATTTCAAGGCGTATTTCAGTGGACATCCACACTTGCGAAAGATCAGCTGGGCTAAAGAACATACTTCCTCACAGCACAAGGACAGTCACAACCTGAACCATAAAGTGCAAACAATTTTCAACCCTACTGTCCAACACCATGATAACTAACTTACCGCCACATTTTTTCGTAAATTGGATGTTGATGTTTTAAAAGCCGAAAGCTCAGTTTTGCTGGGCAGGCACATGTTGCACTGCATTATCACATTGTTCCCTTTTGTGCATTTGAAAACAAATAATCCTTCCAAATATGGCCAAGGGTTTTTCTGGCTTTCGTCTCCAGAATGTGTTTCCCGTTCCGGGCCTTTCCTCATCCATACTCCCTAAGTTGTGATTAGCAACTGCCATCTTCCGAAGCGCAGCACTGGATTATGAGACAATACAAAGGGTAATTGCAAGGCAGGGCCACATTTAATTTTTTTACCTTCAGTATTTTTTACTCAGTAACGTGAGGGGGTTTTAAATGTAGCAAAGTAAAACTACTTAGGTTAAAATTTACTTGAGAAAAGTAAAAATTACGTATGTCAAAAACTACTCAGAAAATTACAAATTACTCATAAAAATTACTCAATTACAGTAACTTGAGTAAATGTAATTCATTACTTTCCACCCCTGATTGTACGGTTAATGGAAAACTAGTATCTATATCCAGTTGGTTCACCCTCATGGGTCATCAGACTATCACACAACAACGCAAACTGGAGAAATGAACTGAAGGGATTAGAGTGGTCAGTTAACCCAATATGTGGGTTTTGGGGCTGTGAGATGAAGCCAAAGTACCTGGAAAGAACCTCAGCTATGAATTAACCCATGCAGCCCATGGAAAGCAATTTCATATCCCTTCTCCTTCCAAAACTCCATGTGGCACCTTTGCAGAACAAAAATACAACTTCAAACCAAGTAAAGGATCCAACTTTAAAAAGACTAACATACAAGTAGATAACATAGACCCTAGTCTATTAAAACCTTTTTCATTTTTTCATCATCTTATTTGAACACGCATGCCAACCCTGACAGGAAGGGTGAGTAGCATTGATCACACGTGTCATCACAGCAAAAGGGTATATCAGATACCTGTTTACTGAAAGCAACAAAAAGCAAATTAAAACTCTTGAATTGATGATCTAATCTAAAAAGAAAGGTCTTCCTTCTACTATCAAACATCTCCTTCTGGACATCACCAGACTCTGGTCTCACCAGATTTCTTCCTGGGAACGTCTGGATGCAAGACCAACACCTTAACAGATGAGTCTTACCATTTTTCATCCATTTATACCGAAAGTCAGTCTTAAAGAAGCAATGTCTTGGATGTTTCTGTTTCTAGCACACCAGGATCTAATAAATGGGTTGTTAGAAAAAACTAGCAATACTTTATCCCTTTAAAGCCCGATCCAAGAATAAAACAAAACAGAAAATTACTTTTTTTGGTTTGAAGTCCTTTTTTGGCCTTTTAACAAAATATGTAAAAAGAAAAAAACAGAAATACATTTTTGATATTAATAATTTATTACTATGCAATAAGTCAAGATTCTTTTTTTTGTAGTCTTCTGCCCTCTGTTATCAGGTATATCTGATGTGTACAATAGGATTTTGAGCAAAGTTTTTACCATTAAATTATGTCAAAGGTGTCAGATGCAAAACATTTAAGAAACCGTATGTATCAAATATCATACAGTTGGCATTACAGGGTTAAGATAAACAGATGAGTTAACTTAGCCGTCTAACTCCTGCTTCTAACATGTAGGACAATGAGCTTTAGGAGTGGTGCTGGAAATATCTAGACTCTTTGCCTTAGCAAAAGTTTTTTTTCTGTTTTTTTGACAGCAATTAATACTTAAATTTGATCTTCCATTATATTTTTCAAATAATGTGGTAGAAATGACAGATGAGTAATATGCCGAATGAAAGTTCCAGCTGGCAGTCAAATAAATTGAGCAGGTCTAATGAATACGTTTCGATGCCAAATGAAAGAAGATGCTTTTAACATCCTGGAAACATGGTAGTAATATACAAACACATAAATCTTAATTTAATGTTTATATGCAGGGATTATGTTGAAAGGACTCCCCTACATCTTGCAAATCCTTTAATAACATTCTGGCACGCAGTTACAAACTGCAACAACTTCTGCTTAGTCAATGAGATTGCAGCAGTGGTGTCTCAACCTTTTAACATTCTCAGCGTAATCCGCTCAGAAATCTTCCTGAAAATCTTTTCTTTTCTGCTGCCAGCTCTCCACAGGGAGCTGAATTTAGATGCAAAAGGTGCTCGCAAGCATGCAAACACTGAAATTGCTACAGTTTCCTGTGTGATTGCTTGCTTTAATTTGTTGGAATGTTCTCCATCCCCTTCTTCCTCATTTTTTGTGTCAGCATATTCTGCTCCCTGGAGAAAGTCACAGAGAGAAAGGATTCACTCTCACACTTGTCCGTTCCACTCCATGTGAGATAGGGATTCTCATTCAAGAGGCTCGAGAGTGTTCTGCTGCATTTGCACGTTGGATGTCGCAGCTTCTCTTCACTTTTCAGTGGCGGTCAAGACTTCTGCTGCTTTTTAAAGCTCTAACCTGTTATGATCTAAACACAGTAGCACAAGCTCCTTTTATCAGATGAGAAAATGTAATGTTGTCTACTTACGCTATAAATACATTTAACCTTTTATTTATCTGATTTGCAGCCATTTTAGGTTTAGTTTTTTAATTTCAGTTTTTCAAAATGAGCCTAAAAATGATTTTTTTTTCTCTTATCCATTGCACTTTAGGCAAATATTTATTAATGTTACTTCTTTTTTTTTCTTTTTTCTTTTTACAGTGTCCTGTCTGGCAATGTGGCAATAAGAATAATTGTCTTGATGCCAAAAAGAGCCCAACAGATTTTACTTTCACTAGTGTAGCAGTATGGCAATTGCCATATAGCTCCACTTGTTTCATGCATATAAATTGCTTTATTATAATTATGCAGGGAGTTTTACAGTTCATATATACACTGCAATGTAAATAGAGCAGAAAAACAGAAGAAGAAAAGTAAAAAAGAAAAAAAAGAGAAAAGATGAAAGAAAGAAGAGATAGAAAGGAGACAATGACAAAACATTTTCATTAAAAGTTACTTCTAAAATCTTGACTAAACATTTCACACATTAAAATAAGACTTGATAAAACACAACATACCACAACAGCAAATGTCCCTAATTTCAGTGTAAAAACTGGATTTTAAGCAACTTATTGATGTTTTTTTTCTGAACTCTTTTTTTCCAGACTCTAGAAATTTGCTTACAAGCTCTCAATACTGTGGTTATCCATGCTACTTGTGCACAGTTTTCTGCCACACTTTTTTAAATTGTTTTACTTAATTGTCTAGGTATTTCCTTGACCCTGAACTATCTGACCTTCTGTGTTTTTTAGCAATGAGATTAGAGGTCTAAACGTTTGTTTAAAAACAAACAATTATAATTTATTCTCTTGATTTTTTATGAAATAACATAACATTTATGTAAATATAACTATTCACTGGAAATTTGTTCTTGGATTGAGGAGGTAAATGAGACAGCTTGCCAATGAAACAAGACAATTTCAACTAAAAATAAGAAAACACAATTGGGTTGTCTTATTTCAAGTGCATATTTTCCAATTATCTTATTTTAAGAGTAAAGATATTGATTTCATTGTCAATCTATCTAAATTTGTACTTATTTCTAGATCGTTTTTTTTTTTTTTTTACAGTGTACAGGTTTCACTTTTTGTATTAATGACAAAATAACTTCGAATATTGTTATTCACTGATATGTCACTTATGCTATGAATAGATATGGTGTTCCACATACTTAAACAGTTTATACATCACATCATAATT